GAAACAAATCAGCTAAATACTCCACAAAACCATCAAAGAACATATGCTAACGTGACAGCACATCAAACCAATCATGATTCAGAACCTAAAACTAATGTAGAACAACAACTATTGACATTCCTAAACGAGTTCAAAAACATGTTCTCGCAGCTCATGAGTCAAAATAGTATGATATTAAACTTACTAACACAAGTCATTAACCAAAGAAATTCTTAAACATACTTAGAGTTGCCACATAGAACGCTAACGGCCTGCTAAACCATAAGCAAGAAGTAATTACTTTTTTAAACTTAAATAAAATTGACGTTTTGCTTATTTCAGAAACTCACTTTACCGAACTAACTACGTTCAATATTCCGCACTATACCACATACAGCAAACCTCATCCTGATGGTACAGCTCATGGTGGCTCGGCGATAATCATCCGCAGCTGCATATCACATCATGTATTGCCGAATTATGCAACAGAAAAAATACATGCAATAATCGTTCAAGTAAATGCAACGCCATGGTACTTTAACATATCTGCAATATATAGCACCACCTCGTCACACAATCTCCACAGATGAATACAAAGCTTTCTTCCATTTACTTGGCAGCAAATTCGTAGCCGGGGGAGACTGGAATGCGAAACACATACACTGGGGCCCAAGACTCACAACAACAAAAGGTCGTAATCTTCTAAAAGCAATGACCAACAACAACTATGATTGTCACACCAATGGAATCCCTACGTACTGACCGAGTGACCCAAAAAGACTTTCAGATCTGCTGGACTACTACATAAGCAAAGGAGTGGCCAGAAACAACTGTCTAATAGAATCCAGCTATGATCTCTCATCGGATCATACACCGGTTATTATGAGCCTGAGTACCACAGTTATAAACAGTCTATCACCTCCTCGACTCACTTCAAAAAACACCAACTGGGCAGATTTTCAATCCTACCTAGAAGAAAACACCCACCTTAATCTGCGGATCAAAACTGCACATGACATAGATACAGCAGCTCAATACTTCACCAAACTTGTGCAAAAAGCGGCATGGCAATCTACACCACGAACTGAACGCAAACCAACACATACCACAAATATTCCCCTGCACACTCGCCAACTCATTGCAGAAAAACGTCTTGCGAGGAGAACTTGGCAAAGATCTAGAAACAACATAGACCTACATATATTCAATAGACTACATAGGCAACTTGGACTAGCCATCAAAGCCGCAAACAACGAAACCTTCGAACACTACATTACAAATCTTACAGCAAATGACCAGACGTTATGAGCCTCCATCTTAACCAACGTCTCACTTGGAAGAAACATATCCAGACCAAAAGAAGGCAGCTCGACTTAAAATTCCGTCAAATGTATTGGCTTCTTGGACGTAAATCAAAACTTAACATCCAAAACAAAATTCTTCTATATAAAGCCATGCTTAAACCTATCTGGTTCTACGGACTTCACCTATGGGGCTGTGCAAAGCCAACGTCGCTGAATATGATCCAAAGATTCCAGTCTAAAGTACTTAGATCGATAGTGGATGCGCCATGGTACGTAAGTAACCAAACACTCTACTATGACTTAAGGTTCCTTCCATCAGAGAAAAAATGCATCAAGCCTTGGAGTCACAAAATGAACGTACCATTCACCACGAAAATGAGCTAGTAAGGGAATTATACAACAATGGACCAGCCACAAGAAGACTACAGAACCTGGCCTCAAGACCTTCTTTAGAACTAAACCAGAATAGAATAAGGTGAGACATCATTGTATGGCTCCCCTTCACGCGCAAAACCTGTATCACATTTACTTAATACTCTTTTTATGATGTAGATTGTAAATAAACATAATTATAAAAAAAACTTTTTAATACAATTTGTTCTAGAAATCGGTGAAATAATAAAAATAACCTCACTTTATTTTAAAACAGTGTTTTATACATTTGATTTTTTTTTTCAAATTTCACATGATTTTTGTATAATTATTAATGTCACACAGTTCATAAAGGTTGTCTGATGTCATTTTTTAATTTCTTTTATCTAGTACTCATGGCGCTGAGAAAATTTAGGTAAATTTGTTCAGATGAATTGATGAATTTTGGTACCATTTTGAAACAATGATGCGAGTTTAATATTTTGATATATGATGCAAAGTACACTTAGTACGTACCTAATACACTAGTAACACTAGTACGTAAATTAAAACATGTACAAAATTGTACTCAGGATAAAAAACTACTACTGTAAATATTATCCACTAAAATTAGCAATACATAAGATACTTTACGTACCAGTGTGCAAAGTAAGACTAGGGTATAAAGTAACTTATGTACTTTTATTAAGTGAGCAACATGTAATGCTATAGAAAAATGATAATAACACATATTGAACTTTTACATTACAGATGTCTAAAATAAATTTGGACGAAGTTTCAAAACTTGATTCCAATGGGATTTTCGATCGGCTTGAAGGATTTGATGATGAGCAAGCAGAAAATTC